TGCTGGCGACTTAAAGTATATTCTTATTAGCTAAAATATTTCACGTTGAGATGATCGAAGGAGGAATCGGCGTGTCCCGGTCGGGACACGATAAAAATTGCAAGATTACGTGCGCTCGATAGGGAAACGAGCGAGATGAACATCGCTGCGTGCGTGGAAAATAGAAACGCATCGGCAGAAATGCGTATGCAGAAATACATATGTAGAAGCACAAGGTCGCTCCGCTGTCCGTACAATGCAAACATCTGAGAAAAACACGTAGCCGGGGCTACAAGAACGTTTCCGGCCGTGGCCGATCCGCGGGATGACTGTGTTTAAGCGCTCGATAATAAGTGAGCAAACTACGCGGTATTAACGCATACGGAATGTATTCAGCTCCTAATTATACGCCGCGAGGCTCGATACACCTAATTACTCATCGGCTGAATGATCGTGAACGCACGGGTGAATCGTGAGAGCGATTCAATTAATGTTTAAGCCGCGCCTAAGCATCCCGGCAATTAGCGGGTTATTCCACGTGGCGCCGTTTCTCCGATGGCGCGGCAATGATATCGCGTCTTCGGGCCTGACAAATGCGCCGTAATTGAGCCGCAACGATCGGGCCGTAACGATAATGACCGGCGATTTACCTTCGAGCATTGTCAGACAGCGATTCGAGTCCGCGATCCTCAGCGCGGCCACGAGGGCCAGCAGGCCCAGCACGGATCCGGGTCTCAGCATCATGACCTTCTCATCCTGCAACAGATATCGGCGCGTTCTATTGAGATTGCTCGTTAGAAATGGATTAATTTAGTCGCGATTGCTACATGAAGCGATAAAACGGTCTCTCTAGAAACGATCGCGCACCAAGTTGCTAGATCGCATGCGAGTTAAAAAAAAACACAGCAGTGAAAAACACAAGGATGTGGCAATTAAAATTCGAGCTCGTTCTCTCTTTCTCGTTTTCTCTGCAGGTATAACTTTTTTGCAGCTGTAATTGCGATGTTGTTCGAAATCAAACTGATATTCCTCGTTGATAAATTCGCGAGTATCTTCAATCAGGTTCGCAATAAAAACAAGCCGAACCAATTAAAAGCAGCTTAACGAGAGATACAAATATCTCGTGTCAGGTGCGCGTGTACACTCCGCGAGACCTTTCCAATTGATTATGTATTTCTTCACCGTCAACAATTTCTTGCCATTTGAAACGTGTCCATTCCGTCTGCATCAAGAATTCATGACGAACATTGTTGAAAGGCTAATAAAAATACGCGCGCGTAAGCGAATAAATAAAATTGCTCAGAGTCTCGGGTATCTGATCGCGAAGTGACGCCGTGCTTTCCTGAATCAGCGGGCATATAAATAACACTCGCGCTCTCGACATTACATCTAGAAAGCGCCGGTACGCAAGCGGCATTCCGTTTAGAAAATACTCGTGACGACACACGCAACCGTGAATGCATTGTATTTTACGAAGTGTCTGACGAGAAGATAAAAGCAAGAAGGGCCCCCGTTTCCTCTCGTATGTACGTATGACCCCTCGGCGCATCCGGTGTGAACCTGCGGTAGGTCAGTTCTGCAATTTGACCTGAGAGATTAAGACCCGGATTTAACATGCGAAAGAGTCGCAGAGATATCCGCTGTCAGAGAGCGGCAAGCGCGCTTCTTCGACATCGTTTTAACATCGATCGACGAGTCATTTCTCGCTGGGCGCGTACGCGGAAAGAAATGCCGTTGAATTAAAAAAAATTAAGTTGCTTGAATTAAACGTCACCGGCTGCCACAGACATAAATAATTCACTCAATTGTATCTGCTATTGAATTTTAAGCATTGGACTAAATATCCAGATTATTAGGACAACTGTCTGACGATTTTTCATTCATTATTAGAGGAAAGTCCTCTATTACAAGATAGGATTCTAATACGAGATAGCAGGTTTCCAACACCCAAATTCAATCACAAATTAGGTCTTGCTGGGACATTATAAAGAGAAAATAAGATAATAAGATAAAATAGTGCCCAGTGGGCAGTACTTTATCTTATTATCGTCATATTTTATCTGGTTTTATCCTTTTAGATTCTTCATAATGTCTCAGCAATAAATTCATGGTGGAGCCAACCAATTTAGCGGAAACCTCGCTATCTCGTACTAGGAACCCACTTTATTATAGGGGACTTTCCTCTATTGATGTGTTTCAACCTATTTACTTCAATTACACTGATATTGTTGCTAGATCACTTTGCACTTATGCTTTTCTCAGTCCCTAGAGAGTCAGATCATTTTGTCGCCCCAGTTGGTCTCTCGCGCGATAAGAAATTGCGCGTAACAGCGCATTCATATTTATCACACTGTTAGTACCTACCACGAGCGATATTGCGTCGTTATCAAGGTGAGTTGGCGCAGGGCGATAGGGTCGCGAGGGATTACGGAGGTAACGGACGTGTTCGAGCAACGGGGTACCGGCCGATCTTATCTCCCCGCAGCTCGGGCCCTCTCGCGGCGATCGAGAAGGCGCGTTTTTTTTTACGGTCGCGCGCGATAGCGCGCCGCACAGTGCGAGAGAGGCGGACCGGAGGGACTTCCGGTTTCTGCGAACATTAGCTAAGCGATGGGAAGAAACGCCATCGGGGTCTCTTGGGCAGAGTGCACCACGGCGCCGATGTGCACGATGACTCGTGATTTAAGCGCGGTCGACCTGAAAAGATTAGAGTTCGCCAGGCATAAACGAAGCGTGACTCGTTTTGTATGAGATTGTCTATAGAGAGGCGACAAGCAGGCACGAATAAGTTGATCGGGAAGACGACCGTGTGATTCGATTACAGAATCGAGTTTTTCTTTACATTGTCATATTGTCGGCATTTTTCATAAACAACGACGGAGATTACACATTTTTTACGTATCGTACGCGGAGAGGATTTTCTCTTAAAATTTATCCTGACAATCGTGCAATCGTGGGACAACGCGGACACATTTCGAGAATTTTCATGAGAGCTTTTGAGTTGTTACCATATTTACTAGCAATTGTAAAAATTATATAAATTTTACATATTGACTAGTAATATTTATACATGTTCCTAGTAAAATGTGTAGTAAAATTTCAGAAGACTCTCATAAAGTTCTTCAAAATGCCATTTTCAGGGTACATTTTAATAGAAACTTCTCTCCGTGACAGTCGCTAAATTAGATATTACTAGGTTTGTGCGATTTTTGGTTCGAGTTGAAGTAACAGACAACCAATTTTGATTTAACACACTTTCATTAAAGGGAACATTTACAGGCCTGTTTACTCGAAGCATTTTTCGTAAATTGTATTCGGGCGAACGGAGTCGTTACGGCCCTACGTGTAATTTAAGTTACTATCGACCCAATGAAATTTCGCATGTCGCTCCGCGCCGCTGCAACACCGTCGAATGTGCCAAAGTTACGGATCCTTGCGTGCGGTCTATATCAGCTTGGGGATTACGTCTGAAAAGCGAAACGGCGACGGGGAAGGGGTTAAGAGAGGGCAGGGGCCTTTACACGCTTGAAAAGTTCAGACTCGTCGGCGCCCGGATGCCGCCGCGACGTCTGAACTCCGGTCGTATCTTCGGAGGGTATAAAAGAACCATCGCGTTTCGCCGGGGCGGAATTGGGCACAGCGAATTTCGTCACGCCATTTGAGCGCGCCGACGTGTCTCTTCGCAGCGCGAGGCCGATAGACGACGCGTGCCCTGGACCAAATCTAGCAAATAAGCCGCACCGGCGAATTAATTCGCGACCATTCCAATTTATTTCAACAATAAAATAACACTATTTTCTTCCGTGGTACAAAAAAGAATCTAAACAAATAAAGTTAACTCGGGACCGGTATGAAGATATAAATCGAATAGGAAACAAGAAGAAAATTATTATAATAAATTAAGAATAATGTGGATTATTATACGCGAATATCCAGTTGTGAGCAATTTTTAATTTTCATTTTATTAGCGGCCTATTGCATTTGATTCCGTGATATTTAAACTATAACAGTCCTGTTTTGTTTTGAAGTATAATATAGAGGAAAGTCCTCTATTATGAGATACACTTCTAATACGAGATAGCAGGTTTTCAACGTCCAAATTCAATCGTAAATCTTCATTCGCAACGATTACATGATCTAATGATGAATTTTCCACTAAGCAAATTTCACTCCAAGGGTAAATAAATTCATGGTGGAACCAACAAATGAAACCCCGTTGTCTCATAATAGGGGACCTTCCTTTATGGTCCTATTTTTCAATATGACACAGTCTTTTCGACGTTTCTGCAGCTGTATGTCCCCGCGCTTCGTGCAACAAGGACCGATTCACGAATGGCCAAACATGTGCAGCGGCGCGGGCTTCGCTTAAAAAAGACCGCGCGCGGAATCCACGACGACGCGGTCGTCGCCACTCGTCCGTCAGCCAACCAGTAAAATGTGTACAAATGCCGTCGCGGCGCGGCCCGACGCATCATCCGTCCAAAGCGGCTCCAGAGAGACCGACAGCGACGCATTCGTCAGTTCCACCGATAAATATGCACGGTCGTTCGCGCGGCGAAGGGCGAAAATAATTCCTCCCGCCTTCGCATGGCGTGCCTCGAATTTATGCCCCTCGTCGTCGCACGGCGTATTTATAAATCGCAAAATTAGGAAAACGCGCGGTAACCGCGCGTACAATTAAATAGAATATTTTTGTCTACCCCCCCCCCCCATCCGTCGTTCCAAAATTTCGCGCGACGCGACGTTTCGGTCCCTCGCGAACGGATGCTGACGATATTTTAACCCCGTTTATACGTCGCACCGGCTGAATTATGCAGAAAGCGGCGCAAAATATCGCGCCGGCATCTCGAGGCGAACGACGCAAAGAAGACAAGACGACCGAGCGAATGACGAAACGCTCGCAATTTAGATACACCGCAGAGGCGTCCAAGTGCGATTTGACCTACGCCCCCCCTCCCCGTTATCACGCATGAATAAGACATTATCAAACGTAGATCGGCTGAACTTTGTGTGAACGCTTTGACTTTCGTCACTGTCATTCAGTATCTTTTCCATTATAAAGAAAAAAAAAGATCTTTACGTAATGCCGATTCTGGTGAATGAGACGCAAAAATACCGACGGGGAACAGACGCCGCGTAAGCACATTTTTCCCACAATTGCTGGAATCTTGGTTTTCCCCCTACTAAAAATTTCATACAGGGTGTTATGTAGTACCCATCTCACCTGTTATGTACGGATAGAGCGGACTAGACTAAGTCGAAAAGTCCTCTACCATTTTGCAATTTTCGCAATAGTTAACGAGTTATTAATTATTAAAGATCGCTGTCTTAGCTCGCGGTGAGATGCGGCCGTCCCGCGATCGGCGTTGCTAGGCGCGCGGAGAATTGTATAATAAACAACTCCCTGCGCGCCTAGCAACGCCGATCGCGGGACGGCCGCATCTTGTAGTGCGCTTTAATTGGGCGGTAGGCCGGGCTAAGACAGTGATTTTTAATAATTAATAGCTCTTTAACTATTGCGAAAATTGCAAAATGGTAGAGGACTTTTTGACTCAGCCTAGTCCGCTCTATCCGTAAATAAGAGGTGAGGCGGATATTACATATCACCCTGTATATTTGTTTCACCAGTAAAGGCGCGTGGTCCTGTACCTATATTTCAAATGCGATACGCGAGAGTCGGGGCGTGAGCCGTTCAATTAGAATCAATTTTTCAATTATGTAAATCATGAAGTTTGTGAGGCGGACAGTCCTATAGT